CTCAACGTAATTTCGTTCACTGCCATCAGCAAACAAAAGAACACTTTTCGGATCTGTTATTATCAGAGATTGATAAAAGATGTGGGTGCTGTGATTCCCATGCCCCATGCCAACATTTACTTACACCCAAAGAAGTGAGCAGGCAATGGATTTCCCCTTGGTTTTGCAATCTGTGAACAAAATCACACGCAAATGAAGTTCTCACTTTAACAGCTCCATTTAATGTTGAGTCGGCGATAAAATGTCAAGGCAATCTATCTCTGTGCTCATTATCATATTATCATTGAATTCCGTTGAAATGTTTGTAAGCACAGTGCACGGTGCGTATACGCAACTTGCCTTAAGACAGTAAAAAGACACCAGATTTTACGACTCATATTTGGGATGCCAATTGGATCGCAGCTAAGTGAAAATCGCACTCAGAGTTGGCCCATTATCCATTATCCACTACCCATTACCCATTTCCCATTACCACCAACAGATCAAAGTCAATCTTCTGCTCTTCTGAGCCTTCTGATCAGTAAAAAACTCACGTATCTCATGATCAACTTTTTTGTAGATCGTCTGGAGACTGGAGGATCGGGGATCTTGAGGTTGACGGGGGAGTAAGTGCAGCAGTAGCTGGTTTGCCGGCCTATGGGCGGTACTTAAGCTCACGCACACGATCGCACACCGACATACTGGCAGTTATATATATAGAAGGCACTTTTTGCGCGCCTCAAAAATTGTTATTGCACATTTAAAGGCGTCATTATTAGCGCTACAATTGTCCATGAATTTCCAATGCAGCCGAAGTCCACGCACTAATTGGACGCACTAGGAGGAGCCGATGGAGCAGGAGGAGCAGGACCTGGATGTGGAGCAGGGAGTAGTACCGATCTCGCATAGCAATTGCATTGCTCTCTCCATTTTTTGTAGGTTTTTTCGACTGCTCTTAGTGGGTTATCACATAAATTGTGCGCACAAATCTTGATCTGCAAATCATTTTCGACAACTTTACGGCTTCGAGGCGGGCATCCAGAAGGGGTGGTGGGATGATGGGGAGGTGGGGTGGAGTGGAGTGGAGCATTGGGGACCCAGTCTATATGCATATGTATGATCGTAACTTTGCTCCGCTATCTGTCGCTGCGATCTCGATCAGAGTGCGCATGCCACGATCCACGATCCACGATCGCGGGCAACAATATTTTCTGTAACTCTGCGTTTAGTTATTTTTTATTTTTGGTCGGCATTTCCTGTGGCACCATTAACCCACTGCCCACTGGCAGAACTAAAAGGTTTCAATATTAAGTTTAAGAAATCAAACGGATCTTTGATAAGTTACTTTTGGAACAAATTTAATTGTGGTCTGATTTTCTTCGGCAACTTTTAACTCATTTTCTTACAATGACAAACACTTTTAAATTTTTAATACTTTTCATTTTTGAATTTTAGTTTTTCTACTAATAACCATAGTTTTTCAAATAGGTGCTAACACTAAAGATTTTTTAAATATATACAATGCACTGTAAATGGTACAAATACATTACAAATAAACAATACTATTTTTTACTGTTATTGGTAGAACAAATAAATATTTATAGTCTTACTATTTTTCACTAACATATTAAAATCTCTATTTTTTGCCGCACTTTTCTTTACAATAACTTAAAGTTCATTTTTTTATTGAGAAGAAAGGCAACCTTACCATTTCTTAATAAAGCAACATTCATAAAGAAAGTGTCTTCAACATTTGATCAACCAATTAGGCAACCAAGGACGAAAAGTTTGCCAAATTTTGAACATGGCCAGAAAATGGGTTAAGTATCTCAATCGGTGGAAGTTGAGTTATTCGGTTGGTCCGTCCAGCACAGTGGACACTTAATTTAGTGGGCCTCTAGCACTAGCGGGAACCGTCCTGTCCTGTCAGCGGCTAATGAAATTTATGCATTTATGCCGCAATCCTCGCCAGCGCCTGCGATCGTCGGAGGTTGAGAAGGAATGGACATCGGACGATGATCCATGTTAATGTCCATCAAATGTGCCAGGGGTAAAGCAGCTGTCAATTCGATTGTTGGACATGTCCACATGTCCATGTTGCAATTTGCAATTAGCCGCACTGGCAACGGATATGGCAGAGGATGGGGATGTCGACTGGATGCGATGGGATGCGATGGGATGGGATGGAATGGGATGGGGATATAGACTGGACATAGGATGCCCTGCAAGTGTCGCGCTGCGCGTTTCCCGTGAGAAATTTCAATTATTTTAATTAGCGTGGCGATCGCGGTCGCTTTATTAGGCGAAACCGATCGATGTAAGCGCGTCTGCGGCTCTGCGGAGTCTGAAACCGAGTCGAAGTATCTGTATCTGGCCAATTTCCGCTGCACGCAACACTCGACGTCGCTGCCGACGTCGCTGCTTCGGAGCTCGCAGCTCGCAGCTCGGAGCTGGAATTCCAAGTTGATAGCGAAGACAGTCGCCGCAGAACAGGATTCTGGCCATGGCCGCCTAATGACATGTTTTGGATAATGATGACGGAGCAGGAGAAGGAGACATGAAACCAGGAGGCTGAAGACTGTGGACTGGAGACTGCAGACTGAAGACTGAAGACTGAAGACTGGATAGTGGTCCGCCGAGTGGCGATAAAAAGCTGGAACTTAATTTAAATTGATGACACTGCTCTCATCGCTGGCCACTTGGAAAATTGCCCACAAGCGGCGAACGTTTGCCAAGCAAATCAATCTGCATGCCAGCAGTCGGGGATTCGTTTTGCACCGGGACCACCCGGCGTATGAATTCGCTGATGTCTTTTGCCGTCGTACGTTTGTCTCTGCAAGCTTAATTGGCCGCAGCGGTGTCAATTGCAGCGCCACCACAGCCATCACAATGAGGGACCAATGACCAGTGGCCACTAACCAGTGAGTAGTATATAGTGTGTATAGTGTGTAGTGTGTAGTGTGCAGTGTGTAGTGAATAGTGTCTAATGGCCACTGGCCAATTCCCCGGCCACCAGCGGGGCTCGAATGCGACTTGCTGACCAAGAGTGTCGCCCGCTGTGATCGGGAATGCCAATTTCAGCAATTAACAATGGCCATAAAAGCCTGGCGGACAGGTGAGCAAAGCCTTAAGACTTAACAACAGCGGATGTGCGAAACTCGGATAGCAGATAGCACTTGCCAGATGCCAGATACTACATAGATACCAGATACCAGCTATGAGATACCGATACAAGGGGCTTACACATGCAGCCTTAGATTAGCAGAGTGTGAAGCGGAGGCGGAAACGATCTCAATCTGAATCTGAGTCTAAATCTGAGTCTGAATCTGAACCCCATTCCAATGTTGGTATCTAAATACGATGCCGTGTGGGGCACTAACCTGTAAACAAAAGGCAAAGGCCGCTGTCGAACATTAATCAGCAGATCGCCCGCTTTATGACACAGAGAAAAATATATATCGCCAAAATATGCCATTAATTTTATGCGGCCTTTTAATGAATTCAAATTATGGTACTAGAATTATTTGTTTTAGAAACTTGTAGAGACTTAAAAACAAAGAAATAAAAACATAAATATAAATGTAACAATAAGTAATAACTAAAAATTATTTTTTTTGTATTTCTAGAAAGCAAATTGTCCTTTAACTTTATCTACATTATTAAACATATATTTGCATAACATATTTGTATTGCAATGTTATAAGTATAGAACAAGTGTTTAATTAACAACACTTAAAGTTAAAAAGAACATTTTTTGAATAATTTGTGATTTGCTAAGTGGATATTAAATGGTTAATTATTACTTTTAAAATGTTTTTTCTAAGTTCTAACAAATTTATACATTTTTTTAGTCAGCTGATTTAACATTCAAATAAATAACGAAACCCATTTAATTGCTGTCTCTTTTTTCTCTCCGTGTGGCAGCGAAGTAGCAACATTTAGGAAAACAAGACACGAGTCATAGCGGTTGCTCTACAAAGTATTCATATTATTACCCTTTGGCGGAGACTTCACAGCTTCATCATCTTGAAGTTCAACTTCAACTTCACGAGCGTTCAAGGCGCTGCAATCGCTTATTTTGGATGGGATGGGGAATGGGAATGGAATGGTAGGTGGTTCAACGACTCGATAACAATAAGTTGTTGAAAGTGTCCGAGATTTAGCGGGTGGGGAAGTGTTGGGTCGACCTTGGGTCGAATTTACCAGCTTAGAGCTCTCGAATCTGAATTGGCCAAAAGTGGCTGGCCACGCCGTACCGATCACGCACTCACTTCCTGGCCAGTCAGTCAGTCAGCCAGTCGGCCAGCTGGCGTGACCCATTATGCGATGGGTAACTAGTAGCCCAATTCTAATTCCAGTTTCAATCCCAATCCAGAGCCCAGCCCAAAAGCCAATTCCAATTCCAATTCCGATTCCGATTGCAGTCCGTAACAAAGGCGGCGGTATGTGCCATGCACTCTGTTGGGCGGGAATTCGGAAATAGACACGTTCGACGGCTACGGCACATAAACAAGTTTGATTATTACGAAACACGGGCATTGAAATTAAAAAATGAAGACGTCGTTCAGGTGTCGCGGCTGAATTATTTGCAGCCCTTATCGAATAAGTACACACAAGTCCCGGTATGAGTCGCAAAAACCAAATTAGAATATCATCACACACATACACAGTCACAGTCACAGTCACAGTCACAGTCACAGTCATAGTCATAGTCGCAGTCATAGTCGCAGTTAAACACTGGAAACAGCAGCCATTTTATTAGTCGGATGCAGATACATTACATATACTGTACAGTGCATGTCCATTCTAAAATGCGCTGGCTGGCAGAAGCCTGAAATATTGAACCGATATTGGGCAAACGCGTTTTCCAAAGCGTCGAGCGATCGCTCGGCTCAGTCCGATTCTCGCTCACCAATACAGCTAGCTGTTGCTGTAGTGTAGCTATAGCTGTATTCGATTCAATTCGAATCGGTCCGAGGCCCTCACCTCACCTGTGTGGCTTTCGCTTTCAGTTGCTGCTCGCCGCTGCCGCCGATTGGTGTTGCTTCTTACCTGAATCGCGTCGTGTTGCTGCTGTGCCGTCGTCGTGTTGCTGCCGTACCGTCGTCGTCGTGTTGCTGCCGTGTCTTGGCCACCGACCACCGAGGATAATACCCACGTATAAAACCCTATTTGAGAGTCAAGTTCGCGTTGATTCTTAGCAAAATACTGACCAAGTGTTGCTGCTGTGCCATTGTGTTGCTGCTGTGCCTTCGTCGTGTTGCTGCTGTAACATAACCACCGACGCAAGGATATAATATACAACTTTGTTAGCTTGTGGTGTTACCTTTAAACTGTTGCTGTTGTTCATTTGTAGTGTTGCCATTGTGCATTTGTAGTGTTGCAGTTGTGCATTTGTAGTGTTGCTGCTGTGCATTTATAGTGTTGCTGCTGTGTCTTAACCACCGACGCAAGGAACACACATTCCCAAGCAGTACACCACTTCTTTGGCATGTGGTGAGCCTGAGTGTCGAGTGCTTCTGGTGATTTCCCCTTTGGCTAATGGACATGGACACTGAACAGGAGGCAAACAACCATCGCGGCTCGGTCTCCTCCAGCCGCTCCCTGGAGATACCCGCCACGCCCTCGCGTTCACCCAAGAAGGTGTCCTTCTCGGACGAGCTGCCCCAGTCGCAGACACCCGTCCAGCAACCCATCCAGCCGCCGGCCGTCACTGGCGTGAGTCACGTGCTCCAGCAGGCGGCCCAGTATCTGGAGCGATTGCATGGCGCACGCGAATCCCCCTCCGAGGAGGAGGAGGAAGTGCAGCAACAGCCCGATGGTGGGGATAGTGAGGCCGCCGTACTGGACCTGGATGCAGTGAGTCTCGGAGCTGATGAGCCGGCGGTAAAAGCTGGCCAAATTGCGGCCAGCTCGCCAAGTATTCTAGTTGCCAGCGTTGGCAAGCAGGAAGCGATTGCCAGTGGACAGGGAAATAAAAATGGAAATGGAAATCCGAATCAGCGGCAATCAAATTTGTACATGGAACGATACAACCTCAATTTAGATAAGAACTGCAGCTCCATGGAGCTGGAGGCGCGCCGGGAGAAGCAGCGCTGGCTGCTCATATCCGAGTGCAGTGCGCTTTTCGACGAGGGCGAGGGGAAACACACAAGGGAGGCCTTCCGCAAGCTTTTCCTGGACGAGGTGAGTCCCTTCGAGGGGATCCTTGAATGGCAATTTAAGAAAACAACATAAAATAATAGGGATAAAATGTAAAAACGGAACGTTCATAGGTGAAACACTTTTTTAAATATATATATTTTTAAGAACGTGACTGGGAAAGCAATTGCACGTATAATATAGCTAATTAAAATGGGAGGTACTTCAAAGTGAAAGTAGAATTGGTGTTTGACCTCTGAATAAGTGTATATAATACACCCAGAAAAAAAAGGCACAGTTAAATTAAACATTAAAATGTTTAAATGATTTCATTGTTTTCATTGTTTTCATTGTTTTCAACATATGGTACGTTAAAATTAACATATTCAATTGGTTTATCCAATAGGAAAATTGTAGATTTAATTTTTTTCCACATTAAATTTAAATTTTTCTATTCTGGAATAAAAAAAATGAAAGTGAAACCCACTTTGATTCAAACAACACACCCCTCGTGACTAAATCAGTACCGAAAATATTTATTTCAAAGTGCGAATATTTGGATTTGCCGTGTTTTTTCTCTGGGTGCATGTATACAATAACTATAACTGATTACTCAATGAATTTATTTAATATAATCACAAAGCTTATTATTGGTGCGCTAGTCACTTTGACACGAGCTAATCGAAACATTTAACATTTAGCTATAAAAACTAAAGCTAAAAACGGTATGTTTATTTATGTTCTGTTGATGCGACGCTTTTAACCATCTAGTTTCTTGCCGTTTGCAATAAATTACATCATCAAATGCATCCAAATAAACGGGAATGGGAATGGTAATGGATATGGATATGGGTCTAGGAGTGCGATCCAGACCGCCTGACCTTGTGCCACTTATTCTGTGGTCCTTTACCCTACCGCTGGTCGATGCGATCGCCAAACCCGTTTGCTTGATGGGCTCCGTTTTTTTGTGGCTGGTGTTTACTTGGTTTCGGCTCCCCGGTCACGAGTATTTCGTTTTTATGGGCTCCCCGAAAGCCGTTTAACCAGTCAGGGCTCATCCGTTAAATATGCACATTTCTCATCATCGCCGGGAGATCGCATCGCCATCGGCACCGCCAACTGTGACCAAATGCAAAAAAGAGGGGCTGCGTTTCGATTTGCAGACAATGCTAGGCGCTCATGATCGTGAGATCGAATGCCATTAAAATATTAATAAGCTAGTAGTAATTTATGCCAGGCATCGGTCTTCATCACTGCCGCATAGTTTCGAGTTCGGATCGTGGGACCAAGAGACCAGAACCCACTTGATTATGCTCATTACGTGGGTCAGACTCTATGTAAACACTTTCGTGTTTCGTGTTCGTATATAAATCTTCGATTGCGGGGCATAAACAAATGCTTCTCCAAACAATGCGAACGTAAATTAATTAACACTTGAACACAGAAAGCGGAGACGCATAAATTGAGCGCTTTACAACTTGTTTTTCGGACTTGCTTACAGGAATTCCAGCAGAAGCTGTTCCAGCTGTTCGATCTCGAGCGGAATGGCTATCTCCTGCAAGACCGCTGGATCGAGCACTTGAAGGGTCGTCTAACGTAAGTGTGGGTTGGTCGAGGCATCCTCCTCCTCTGGTTCCCTCGTATCCTCCTGCTTCTCTGAGATCGCTGCTGCTGTTGCTTTTGCTGTTTTCTGTTTTCTATTACGACGGTGCCAAAACAATTAGCTCGCCTTGGAAAAAATAGCTATCCGATCTAGTGCAGTACGAACCTATACGATCCGATCCGATCCACACACGCACCTGGCTGGCGTGCTCCAGGCATTCCAGCTGCGCCGACCAGAAGCCCCTGCCAAAGCCACATCCACATCCACATCCACAGCCACATCCCAGATGCCAGATGCCAGCTTCGTTCCCAGACGATGTCCGTTGCCCATGGCGATGCTATCTGCCTTGTGTGTTAACATATACAACAGCTAACATAGTCCGCGTGCCTCGGCAGCCTCTAAAGTTGGCTTGAGGATTGGGATTGAGACTGGGAAGTGGACTCTGCAGCCAGAAACTGTCATTGCCTGCCTGTCGTAATGAAGTCATTCAAATACAAATATAGTGCGAGCAGCACCAGCAGCAGCAGCAGCAGCAGCAGCGATTTCTGGGGATGCGGGGGGAATTGGGGAGCGGGTATCGCGTGCACAGAAAAAAATGAAACCGATATGATACCACTGACACATATTTCTATATCCAGCTGATATTTATCAAGAGCTCCACAACAATTAAAAGCTTGATCAACTCAAATAACAGCATCATGTGCCTTGTAAATATATTTAATTTCTTAACGTAAACACTAATCAAAATAATTTGGCTTTCGGCTGCCAAGTGCTGATGGAGTACACATGTAAATCAGCAAATGGAATCAGAAAAAGATAAATTTGAAATAATATGTGCCAGTGAATTCGAAACGAAATCCAGTTAATATTTTCGATAAAATCTTATTGAACGATTCAAGTTCATAAATCAGTTTAAAATTGTTCTTATCAATGACTTTTTTGAGATTGTAAATTGTTTAACGATCAATTGGAATATTAATGTGTAAAATGGTATGACTCACTTTAAAATTAACGTTAAATATAAACAAGAATATCGAATTGTGTGTCAATGGATGACCTAATCTTTTTCGGTGTACGTGTGCGTGGGGAGTTCGTTAAATTGGCCATGTTGATATGAATCTTTTTTGCTTTTGCCTATGTAGCGACGATCGCCAGATGGACTTTGCCGAACAGATCGAATCGGTGGCCTATGTGATCTGCGGTGAGAACAGCAGGGTTAGCTTCAAGAACTTCCGCGACATCTGGCACACAAGGGGGGTATGTATTGGATAGCCCTGGGTAGGGAGTCCCCTTTAATCCATCTCCTCTAAAACAGATCCTCGACAAACTGTACCGCCTGATTGAGCTGGATGGCAGCAACCTGGTGTCCACCAACCAGGTGATGGAGTTCATCTCCCACCTGACCAACTCCCGTCCGAGGACGGGCTTCGACAAGAGCTCGCTGACCCGGCTGGAGCAGCTTTTCCGCACCACCGTGGGCAACGAGCAGGAGATTCGCAGGGAGGAGTTCCAGAAGATCGTCACCTCGAAGAATGTGAGTTGCGGCAGTGAGTCAGCAACTGCAATGAACAATACTATTTTTAAATAACTTGTTTTTGCCATCTTTCTGTTTGCTAGTTACAGTTTTTTGATAAACTTTTTAACTTTTTTTGTTGAAATTTTGTGAGTTTTTTTAATTTATATATTTTTAATTTATTGTCTAGAGAAAATTTGCCTAAAAGCTTTATATTTTTTTAATAAAACTACTTTTTCTTTTAGAGTATACATACAATATGCAATGTAAAGTGCCCAACAATATGTCATTAAGCCATTTAATTTAATTTATCAAACAAGTTAAGCTAAATAAACCTTTGATATTGATTGCATATTACTTACAACTCACTTTTTAATATACTGTAGTAAATGATTTTATAACAATTTAGGAAGATAACCACAAAGTACTCGTTTATCTACAGTTTGTGTTGGTATAAAAATGTTTTTAAAAACACTTTTTTTTATTAATCTTTTAAAAATGATTTAAAGTGTTATGGCTTGTAGTTTATAGTATCAGGTTAACAAATTTTCGAAAGATTCAATTGTTTTTAATTGATATTTCCAACTCCAATTATTTTGACTGAACCTGTATATTAAAAATATGGTTAGCTGCAGAAATTCAAGACTTCAGACTTTTTAAGAGCTTTTCGTTAAAATAAATGTTTAAATTAGTACAAAATGTACTAAGCTCCCCAGCATTTGACTAGATTTCTTATCAAATATTAAATGGCTGTTTATGATACATATAACTTATGTATTTAGTAATACTTATCTAATTTTCTTTGTTTTTTTGCCAGCCCTTCTTCACGGAGCGCGTCTTCCAGATCTTCGACAAGGACAACTCGGGTTCCATTTCTCTGCAGGAGTTCATCGATGCGATACACCAGTTCTCTGGTCAGTCGGCCGATGACAAGATCCGTTTCCTCTTCAAGGTTTACGACATAGATGGTATGTCTGCAAATTGATATGCCTTCTATTTCTCAAACCATTCATTACCCAACTTACCAGGTGACGGACTCATCCAGCACAAGGAGCTGCATGATGTCATACGACACTGCATCAAGGAGAACGGGATGGAGTTCTCCGAGGACCAGATCGAGGACCTGACCAGCGCCATGTTTGAGGATGCCGATCCGCACAACAGTGGTGAGATCACCTACGAAGCGCTGAAGAACCAGTTGCACAAGCACGGTGGTCTCCTGGAGAACCTCAGCATAACGTGAGATCTGCCAGAGATTGAAATCTTTTTAATACTCACACTAAAACTCCAATCCAATAGCATCGATCGATGGCTAGTGCCCATCGCAGAAGATCGTCAGCCGGGAGGAGCCGCAAAGGGCGGATTCTGGAACTCCCTGCCCCACCAGTTCTCGCTGGCGTACATGAAGAACAACCAGGTCTTCGTCACGTACCTCTTCTTCTACATCATTGTCAACCTGTGCCTCTTCATATCCCGCGCCATTCAGTACCGTGCCAGCAATGGATTCGTGATTATAGCCAGAGCCTGCGGTAAGTACTGATTGTCATGGACTTGGTGTGATTATAGTCTGGCTATATGCGTTGCACCTGAAAATAAATCACACTCTATTACTTTAAAACCATGGCTAATCTGCTTAGTAAATGCGCACACACTCTCTTTTGTTTTAGTAGCATAGTAAAATTGATTTTACTTAAGCCATAAAACTATGAGAAGTCATAAAAAAACAGCGTAATAAAATTATTAGTTGTTGATTATAGCTTTTATACTTTTTTAATGATCAAGAAGCTCTTAGTATCCTCAAAAACAAAGTGTTACTTAGACTTTAATTCTGGAACCATAATCATTATAAGATTTATTTCAAAATATCTAAAACAATAATTATTTTTTCTAATTTTTATGATATTATTTTCTAAAATCGTTAAACAGTGGTTCTTTTTAGATTTACATGATATTATACAATTAAATTACTTTAAGTTAATTAAATCATTTTTGTTAGTTTTATTACTCATAAATTATGAAGCTATCAACAGTTTTTAGTGCCAGACACAGATTAAAATCCTGAATTGCCAATATAGAGTATTTGATTAACTCATATGTATCTACCCGCAGGACAATGTCTGAACTTCAACTGCGCGTGGGTGCTGGTGCTGATGCTGCGGCATTCGCTGACCTACCTGAGGGGTCGTGGCCTGTCCTCGTATTTGCCACTGGACCACCACGTGTACCTGCACAAACTGACGGGCATCACGATCTCCGTGCTGAGTCTGGTGCACACGGTGATGCACCTGTTCAACTTCTCGATCATCGTGATCAACGATCCGAACATCAATGCGGGACACTACACCATCGGCGAGTGGCTGCTCACGGATCGTCCGGGGCTGTTTGGCCTGATTCCGGGATGTGCCAATCCCACGGGAGTGGCTCTCCTCTGCATCCTGATGGTGATGTTCGTCTGCTCGCAGCCCTTCGTGCGGCGGAAGGGCAGCTTCGAGGTCTTCTACTGGACCCATCTGCTGTACGTGCCCTTCTGGGTGCTGTGCCTGTTCCACGGACCCAATTTCTGGAAGTGGTTCCTGCTGCCGGGCCTCGTTTACGTCATTGAGCGCGCGCTGCGCTTCATCTGGATGAAGGGTGAGCACGGCAAGACGTACATTAGTTCCGGCCTGTTGCTGCCCTCCAAGGTGGTCCACTTGGTGATCAAGCGACCGCATCACTTCAATTTCCGACCCGGAGACTACGTGTTCGTGAACATTCCGGCCATTGCCAACTACGAGTGGCATCCGTTCACCATCAGCTCGGCTCCGGAGCAGGAGGACTACATGTGGTTGCACATACGCACCGTGGGCGAGTGGACCAACCGCCTGTACAGGTACTTCGAGCGGGAGCAGCAGAAGCTGCAGCAGAATGGCTCTCCGCAGGAGATTCCCCAGCACATGCACGCCATACCCACGCCCAGTTTTATGCTCCTCAACGAATCCCGTAATCCGGTGATGGGCGGGGAGAGATCAGCCACGCCCCAGACGGATTTCCTGGCCAGGAATCTGGCCGTGCAGCCGGTGCCGCCAGTGCGTCCACCTCGCCAGAATCGCAAGCCCACGGCGGGAGCTGCTCCCGATCCGCCAGCCACTGGCGTCAATCGTATCCGCAGCATCAAGAAGAGCCTGCAGCGTACGTTCTCGAGGAAGGAGGCAGTGGAGCCCAAGAAGGGCATTCCGAACGGAGCTTTCGTGGGCGATGGCGAGCGGGAGGACTGCAGCCTGAAGCAGCGACCGCTGGAGAAGAGCATCTCCCTGCCGGACATCAGTGTGAAGAGCAAAAAGCGGAGTCGCCTCAAGGCGTGAGTAAAATTAGTACACAAATTAGTACAAGAAAGGAAACTTCGGCAAGCCGTAGTTTATATACTCTTTCAACTATTGCAAAAATTATATATATATATATATAAATACATAAATATTATTATATATATATATATAAATACATAAATATTATTATATATATATATATATATATATATATATAAATACATAAATATTATTGTATATATACTCTATATTCCGATTTTAATACGTATGTGTTTAAAAACATTGGATGATTTTCGGCAACATTTTTCAAAGGTTCCTATGGTATAAATATTTAAACCGTAATTCTGAATTATTAAACAATTACAATAAACCAAAGAATTTATAAAAATTTAAAAAGGCAAAAAAATAATACATTAAAAAAAATTTTTTTTTTCTTTCAATATAGCTATATGATATAGTCGTCCGATTTAAAAAAAAAACTTAAACCGTCATTAAAAAAAAAACCTTTACTATATCTTATAGTTTTTAAGTATCTCGAATTCTATGGGAGGTATATGATGTATTTTTCCGATTTTAATAAAGCTCAAATCGAAATATTAAACAAAATAAAAAAATTGCTAGGGAAATAAAGTAAAAAACAGTAACGTTATAATATATTTCATTTATTTTTACTATTGTTCCCACGGGAGCTAAATGATATAGTCGTCCTTATACCTGCAATTGAATGACAACTTTTGGGAAAGTTGTATTCAGATAGCTTTAAAACGCAGTTACTATTTTAGGTAGAAACGGGAATATATATACTCTATAGGGTTGAAACTTTCTCCTTCATTGCATTGAAAACTTTAGCCGAAAATTATAGTACCCCCTGTAAGGGTACCAATGTTGTTCAGATACTCACCCATCCCAATCCCGCAGCCTTCGAGCCCTGGGTCGCTCCGAATCCGAGTCCGCCTTCGACGAGAAGCGGGTGCGTCGTGCCAGGAACAACAGCGTGGGATTGGCCTACCTCAGTCCGCAGAACAAGTCGCTGGCGCAGAGCTTCCGCTACATGCGCACCAAGCCCACCATTATCGCTTTCAAGACGCCCAGCATGGAGGAGCGGGAGCATCAGCTGGCGGCAGGAGCAGGTGCAGGCACAGGGCCAGGGACAGGGACGGGGGAGGCCAATGGAGCAGGTGCGGCCAGCAGGGCGGAGCAGGGATGTGCGGGCTCCAAGCTGGATGCAGCCGATAAGCTGCAGGTGGCCAGACTCAGTCTGGCAGCGGAGGTGGCCTCCAAGCCACTGGAGGTAAGTGGTTTGCTGGCCGATCTGGCAGACTAACCCATCGTAAGCAACTAATCACCATCATCCAACCGAAGGACCAAACTCAGACGGGATCGGGCAGCAGAAAGTCCATTCTGCGGCGACCCACTTTCCTGCGCTCCCTGTCCACCTCCATAAATAACAGATCAGGCGGAGGCGGTGGAGGTGGCGGATCAACTGGTAGCTCCACAACTAACAGCGGTGGCAAGGTCACACTCGATGCGGGAGTAATGGAGGTGCGGGTTACACCAACACACACACACACACACAGCAGGGCTAACCTACTAACTGGTTCCAATGCTAACTATGTGCTCCTCCTTCTCCTCTCAGATCTTCATCGATGGTCCGTATGGAGCGCCCTCCAGCCACATCTTTGGGGCCCAGCATGCGGTGCTCATTGGCACGGGCATTGGAGTCACCCCGTTTGCCTCCATACTCCAGGTAAGTTAATCCCTTACAGCCTATAAGCAGATCTAACTGTGTGATACCAGTCCATTATGCATCGCTACTGGAAGGCCCGCCACAGTTGTCCGAGGTGCCAGTTCGAGTGGGCCAGCGAGATACCCAAGTCTGTGATGAACCTGCGCAAGGTGGACTTCTTTTGGATAAACCGGGATCAGCGATCCTTCGAGTGGTTTGTCAACCTGCTGTCCCAACTGGAGATTGAGCAGGCGGAGCTGGGCGGGGCCATGGAGCGGTGAGTTTCCTCTTGAACATATATCTTTTGGATAAAGTATTTTCAATGGCTTTTGTTCAGCTTCCTGGACATGCACATGTACATAACGAGTGCGCTGCAGAGAACCGACATGAAGGCAGTGGGTCTTCAGCTAGCTTTGGATTTGCTGCACGAGAAGGTAGTCCCATCTGATAGCTAATCCCTAACCTAATGCAACTCCTGTATCAACTACTTCTGCAGGGCAAACGGGATCTGATAACGGGCCTGAAAACCCGCACCAATGCCGGCAGACCCAACTGGGACAAGGTGTTCAAGCAGCTGCAGGCGCAGCAGAAGGGCAAGGTCACCGTTTTCTACTGCGGCCCACCGCAGTTGGCCAAAACGCTGCGGTACAAGTGCGACCAGTACGGATTCGCCTTTCGTAAGGAGTGCTTCTGAACAAGATCTATCTCTCGCCTCCGTCTCCTCGTCCACCTGCTCATCTGTGCCCAATCTCTCTCAATCTCATCTCATTTGCATAAGCAACGGGTTTATTTCGGGTTCGTTTTTGTTCGGTTTAGATGGCTATTTATTCGTCACTTGTCTTGTTGCCTCATTGTCGAGTGTGTCCGCAGCTTGTAAATATCTATATCTATCTGTATTATCTATGTGCTCACGCAATAAAGTTTGTTATCCAATGTGCCGTCCCGATTCCCGATTCCCAATTCCCGATTGCATCCGGTTCAGAACGAGTACATCGTGAGCTTCTTTGCAGGCGGCTCCGAGTTCTACATTTGATGGCCCTGCGCGCAGTAAATCGCTTCCAAATCCCTCACAATTCGGACACACTAATAAAAACAAAAAAACGAATGGACAAACACTCCAGACTCTACTTAGCTACCTGAGCGCTGATTGTCGGTGCCAGTTTACTGCCTCAACCAGGTGCTAAAGTTGATGTCACTGGGCCTGGACATGCGGGCAATGGTGATGGTCTCGTCATCAATGTTGTCCACGTTGTAGAACTCCCGCAGCTCGGCAATGGCCGTCTCCTCGATCTGCGTGTGAACCAAGGACTTGTTCCGCATGCGCTCATACGTTTCCCGCTGCCTTCTCTCATCCGCCAGGATGCGCGAGAAGCTCTGGCCCGGCTCCGTGGGCGTGGTGGAGGCAGCAGCCTGACCCCTCATCATGTTGGCAAACGATGTGGGATCCGAAGTGCTTCCAGTCGTGGGAGAAGTGAAGGAGTCATTAAACGAACTGGATGGCGTGGCAGTCACTCCCCAGGCATTCGGCACAGCCACTGGAGTGGAGGAGTGCTCCACCAGCGGTGGGTTAGTGGCCCGCCAACTCTTCGATTCGGAGGAGAGACGCTTCCGTTGCTTCTGCGAAAGCTTCTGCGACTGGGGCGTCAAGGAACTAAAGTCGAGATTGTAACTCTTGCCCAGTGGCGAGGTGGCTTCCGTTTCGGGGGAGGTTGGCGGCGGTGTTTGCTCCTTCAGGAGCTTCCTTTCAATGGGCAAGAGGTCAGGAGATGGTGGCTCCTCCTGCCTAAGTGTGTTGTTAACTTTCAAGGCTGTTTCAGCCTGTTTCCTTTTGTGATCTTTCTTGTCCACCACTCGTGACCAGTTCTTAGCCTCGTTGCGAGCGCTTTCCTGGGGCGATGAAGGGACCTCCACCGCTTCACTGACGCTCAAAGATCTCATCATGCTGGATATGGCCTGCTGCTCGTACTGGTGTCGAGCATCCTGTTTACGCATATCCTTCTGTTTGTGCTTGGCCGCCTGCTTGAGCTGGGATTCCTACAAAAAAAATAATAACTCACGTTAGATGGAGTCTAAAGCTTTCGAACCTAAATACAAACCGCATCCATTCTATAGTCCAGGTCCACCTCGCAACCGTCGGCAAAACTGAGCAAAAGCTCGTCCTCTATAGCCTCTGAAAAGGGAGTGATTTGGCGGTAGTCGAATACCCTGCTGAACATGTTGCGATAGTGCTCATTTAGGCACTTTAGAGCCTCTCCATCGCACTGCTCGATGCTGCGATAGCAAAGAACTCTGGCCAGATTCTGGCAAATGAAGTCCATGCAGCCCTTCTGCAGCAGTTTGCAGTTGTACATGGCCGCAAACTCGAGCATCTCGCCGCACTTTCGTATGCTGATCTTGTCGAGGATGAGCGATTCGCACACGTTTTGCAGCGACTCAATAAAGTACTGGTCACAAATGGTGATCATGTTGTAGAGGAACGTCTCCAGGTAGCCCTGCTTGCAGAAAGCCTCCGTGTCCAGGCTGTATAGATAGTCCAGAACTGGCTCCATGTACTCCGCTGGAACGCCCTCCATCGTGACAGAGGAACGCTCAGCCCACGAGTGCATAAACATCATTTCAAAGTACTCCAACCGTGCCACCAGCATGCACTTGTGAGCCTCTAAAACCTTCCCGTCCTCGCAAACAATCCTTACATCGTACAGCTCAGGATAATCTGAACGATACATGCGATTGAATCGCTGGCGGACTCTGGGCATTGGGAACTGATGGTCACGAACGTAGCTTTGCACGTACTTGGCCAGTTCGACTAGTTGGAACTTCTGCAGGTGCGGTAAGAACATCTCGCAGGTGCGGGTTCGCTGTTGAGGATTCGCCGGCCCAAGACTTTGCTGAATGCAGTCAATATCTAGAAAGGATATTAACAGGGTTAACTTTCGAGATCTTACGTTGTACACTACTAGCCATAACTCACCATCCTCAGTTGGCCAGTAGCTCGAGTAGATATGCTTCAGGACCACCTCAAACATCTTGCCCGTCAAATGCTCAATATTTAGATAAATATCCTTGTCCAGATAACACCGGATGAGCTCCCGAAGACCTGGCGCTCGACTGAAAATGATTAACTTGTGGGCGGCGAACTTCTCGCCATCCACATGAAAGACCACATCGTGGACGGCATCACAATCGCTGGTCTCGTGCAGCAACTTCTTGAAGCTGTGCTCCCTTCGCAACATTGATGGCTTCCGGAAGTACTTGGTGTGCGACTCTTGCAGAACGGCAAACGATGAGAAACCCTCGTCGCAAAATATGTCGTTGGCGCGGTCAATGTTGGGCACACGCTGCAGCTCGATGCGGATCACATGTTCCCGGGAGATTTCCGTTTTGTTCTGATCGTTGTTCTGCCAGATATCGAGATTGGGCTTGGCCTTCTCCTGCAGCGCTGCGTTTGGCAGGGCGATCTGATTGCACTTGCCCCGATAAACGCAGCCATCCTCGGAGAGGACCATCACCTGATTGCACTTGTAAAGGATTTTCTTAATCTGGGGCAGTCGTATGGTCGAAAAGTTGCATCTGCGGGGGGAATACATGGTCATTAAAGGGGATTAAAACTAGCTCATGTGTTGTACCTGTAAAACTGTTGAGTGTTCTCGTACCAGAGATACACCACATTGGTTTCCGTGAGCATCAGTAGCTTCAGAGCTGCCGCGGAGCCCTTGGCGGAGTTCTTTAGGTGGCCACCCATCACAGATATGCTCTTGAGATCTTCGTAGCTAGTGGATTGCACATTTGTATCGCATAACTTTCACCTAAGTAAGAGTAAACTTACTTGGGCGTCTTAATGTATCTAGTCTTGTCCGCATAGAAAAGAGTGATCATCTTCTCTTCGCTGTAAATTACCGTGGCTGCATTGTTGGCCTCCACAAAACGGATGGCAGTTTTGGCAGGCAGCTTGATCTGCGGGAAATACACTTAGTCGCCACACTTTCCACATGGTAATAACTCACCAGTGTGGGCACCATGATGCTCGGCGTGTTGGCACCGATGCCAAACTGACCCTGATTGGCACCCCACACGTAGACACACCTGCTGCCGTAGGCGATCGAGTGCTGATCGCAGGCGATCACGCGCACCAGCTCGCTGGCACCCTTGTCACGCAAGGCGACCACTTCCTTGAACTGGCTGAGCTGCTCGGGGGCATCACGCACGCCCAGCTGATGGTCTGCGTTGAGGCCGCAGGCGAAGACCAGCGAGCGATTGGTGAGCACCAGGGAGTGTTGGCGGGAGACGCTGATGCAGCGTATGGAGTCGTCGCCCAGTTTGGAGGACACCTTCACGCGCTTAGGTGCTGGCAGGCTGTTCTCCACCCCGATGCCCAGGCGACCACCTTTGCCATGGCCCACGGCGTACAGGTGACCCTTCTTGTCGCAGAACAGACTGTGGTAGGCGCCCAGGGCCACCTGTTCCAGATAGAGACCAGATTTGCGGAAGAAGTCCACCGCCTGCGGGGCATTGGTGTTCTGCTCGTTGCCAATGCCCAGGTTGTAGTTCTTGTTGGAGCCCCACACCAGGACATCGTTTCTAGAGGGAGATCCACTTGTTATTAGGATGGGAATCATTAGCTTTCGTGCACGACTCACTGTGAGTCCGTGGCCAGAGTCTGATCATCGCACTTCCTGCAGATGGCCTGCAGCGGGCACCTGGTGTCCTCGTCCAGGAGCTCCAAACTGGCCCCGTAGCGCAGCAGCAGTACGGCGCAATCGATGGAGCCGTAGTACAGGGCCCTGTGCAGCGGACTACTGCCCGACTCGTAGTCCTGGCCATTGATATAGGCTCCGTGGTTGAGCAGCCACTCCAGAATCTCGTAGCGCCCCGTCGAGGCGGCCATGTGCACCGCCGAACGGCCCTGGAACAGCGAGATATATACATATATAAGGCCCATAGAAGGAGCCCTGTAATTTCACCACCTTACCAGGTCATCTAGAATATTGGCGAAATTGCCGCACGTCTTGAAAATGAAAGCCGCCAGCTTCTGGTGGTCAATGGAGCGCTTGGTCAGCGCTGCGGTGATGGTGTTTCCATGCTGGCGGAGTCTGCACTTCGCGGTGCAGTCGTATTCCTGGCTCCTGGCGGCTGACATCGGATGATTTATAAATAAACGCCGGGATATCAACCTTTTTACGTGGATTATTTTGTTTTGCTCGCGGCGTAGTGTGACCAGGCGGTGGAAAGCTTTCGCACCTAACCCAAAAACTCGACGAAAAATATGTAATTTAAAGTGAGCGCTTATTTTTGAAAATAGTTGTACACGGACTTCAAAATAATAGATATATTTTAGTTTCAAAAAGTCTTAATTGCTGAAATAAATTTGAAAGCCCTGAGAATAATTATTGCCATTGTAATTTTGTTCATAAGCGAGAATCAATAAACAACCATATAGATTTAGCTTACTGTATCTTTATTAATAAAAATCATACTTTTTCTACATTCTTTGTTTCCACTTATCATTTAAAGTATTTAAGAGTTTTATTGTACCGAGAAAAAATTATATTAGAAAATTAATAACGTAGTCAATAAAGTGCGTTTCAACTTAAAAATAAAAAATGTACACGTTCACGACTTCTAATTGTCCAAAAGTTTTTACGAAAAACAATATTTTAAATACACTTTCAATGCTAAAGTAATGGCTTACTGCTTTGTTTACTATTAATTATGATCTACATTCGACTTGAACTAAAGGTCAGGATTTTTCACTTTGCTCTATCGCAGGCAGTCGAAGTTTTCGCTTCTTGATTAAGATAATGTTTTCGTTACACATCCGTTGCTTTAGGATTGATCTGCCCGCCACCGTGATAGCTCCATTCTTGCGAATTATGGAGTAGACACAGACTTCCTTGGGAGCCAACAATCGGGAAGGTTTGTCGAAGTTACGGACCCGCGGCCTCGACGTTGGCTTGGGATCAGGGTTAATGGAACACGAAATGTCCAGGAACGAGAGATCCTTTTGCTGAATGGGGCTGGTGAAGTTGTGAATCCACGTTTTATTCTCGACCTTCCCAGTTTGCTCCACATTTTGCTCAGGCTTGGTGGGCAACTCTTCAGGAGGTTGTGCCTCAGCCGGAGGTTTCTTCGGCTCAACCGGGCATATTGGCTTGCAGGGTCGAACTTTACCCTGAAAAAAGCATATACATCTTAGTACTTATTGTATTATTGTTATCTTCAATCATTTACCATACAAACATGCAGTTTTCGGGCTTTTGCCGTGTCTGCAATGAGTAAACCGCACTTGCACTCGGCATATCCGTAGATCCTGTACAGAGGACCCCGTCTTTTGATGCTGAAGCACTTCTTGACGTGGGCAAAGCGGTTCTTGAAGGATACCATAGATTTTCCACAACCTGGACATACAATCATCTCCACAAGCTCTCCTATGGAGTACCAAATGGTTTCCCTGAGCTCCACGGCATTGGGGACTTCATTGGGGCGTTCCTCGGTCTAGTTAGGCAAGTAGAATAAGTATTTGTAAAACATTGGGTATATAATATAGTCTTACCACAACTTTCTCTGGATGTGACATGTTTGGATCTGCTGGAAATAAGAAAGTAAAAACGTAAACAAATGGCCAAAATCCGCTACCCTTAAGCATTACAGTATTTCCTCACCTGCAGTGATGTTTTTCATTCACTGGAAAGCTTTCTTTAGGTTTCCACTGCAAAGAAACTTAACTCAACTGCATTAACAGCTTTATTTCCCCTAAAAATAATTAAAATAATAACAATAAGTTTTAACGCATCCACCTTTAGAGTGACCAGCTCTTTTACAGCTGTAAAATCCCATTTCGCCCCATCGACTGCGACAGTGTTGTTAAATGCCCGCAGCTTGCTCTGCTATTGTGAACTGAAAAACAGCTGGCGTTTTGAGTGCACTGCGGCATTAAACAAATTAGTAAATAAAAAACTGCATTTAACGCCCCAATCATTAGATGGCTTTCAATTGCCTGTAGCAAAGGATACAATAAGCAATGGGTAAGCTCAAGACAGTGCAGAAATCGGCAAGAAGAAGCTATTCCTGCCCAAGCCAGTGATGCTCAATTGTTGACATTATATTCTAACTATCTCAATAGATTCCTCTTCGTGCTGCTTACTCTGCATGTGCGAGTATTCGGCCATGATGGGCGACTACATAGACGTGCACTCCGCGCGGGCCGCGCAACTGGAGGTGGCCAGGATCGTCAACCAGCACTTTCCCTTCCAGATCTCCAAGGAAAGCCACGACAGGATCTGCGGACGCTGCTGGAAAACGGTGTCCGACTTCAACACTTTGCATGAATTCGTTAGTGCGGCGCAGAGCTCGTTGCAGGAAACAAAAGTGTTGCTCATGGAGGATGATCCCCTCACCCAGGGCACTTCCTCCTTCCCGGAAGTCGCCAAACTGCCAACGGAAGGGGAGGAGCCGCGGGCGCAGGAGCCATCTGAACTTTGCGGGCGCAACTTTTTCTACCCGGAGGTCAAAATAGAGGAGCACGAACTAGACCATTTACCCCGCATCGAGATCCTGGAAAGCACCTCCAGCACGCAAACACCCCAGGATCAACTGGAGGGCACAGCCAGACGCTTGAGGAAGCGCCTAAAGGCAGAGGACGGATCCTCTGGGGACAAGGACAAGGATGAGGATGTCGCTGATGCAACCGCTGAGCCCGCGCCGCCCAAAAAGCGACGTGGTCGCCCCCGGAAATCGGATACCGCCACTGCCGTTCTGCAGAAGCCAAAAGAAGACATCCAACTGAACTTAAAGGCAGAGGAGCTCGATGAGTTCATGGACGAGGTTGCGGATCCCGACTTCTCGTGCAACCTGGACGACGACCTGGTGCCCAGCGACAATTCCTCCGAGGACAACGACGGAGGCAGCGGGGGCTTCGACTCTGATTCCGACTTCGAGCTGGACAATCCCGGGAAGCAGGAGTTCGCCGTGCTGCCCAAGAGGACGGTGGTGCGGCCCAAGAAGTACAAGAAGCGAACGAAACCGGCGGAGCCGAAAGTGCGAATGTCCCGCGAACTGCTGGAGCAGCGGAAGAAACAGCAGGAGGAGTACGACGTAATCATCGCCAAGTTCTTCACCAGCGTGCTGCCGTGTGCCATATGCAATCTGCTGGTGCACAACTTCACCGAGATGCAGCGCCACCACAGACTCACCCACCAGGTCGATCCCGGCTACATGATGTGCTGTGGCCGAAAGTTCACGCAACGCAAAGTGCTGGCCGAGCATGTGCTCGTCCACTGGAATCCTGAGCACTTCAAGTGCAGCGTGTGCGAGAAGTCATTCCAGAACTCACGGCACCTGGAGTCGCACCAGCAGGTCCACATGGATCCGGCCATTAAGCTGACGTTCAGCTGCGACCTGTGCTCGAAGACCTTCCTCAGCAAGACGGCCATTGACTACCACAAGCTGAACAAGCATGTGCCCAAGTCGGAGTTCAAGTTCACCTGTTCCGAGTGCAATAAGAAGTGAGTGTCATCCCTACCAGTCCATCACTCCTTCTCTAACTTTGTTTAACCATGCCCAACAGATTCCTCACCGAGCGCAAGCTGAAGAACCACATGAACTCCATGCACGACCCGGAGAGCACCATCATCTGCGACAAGTGCGGCAAGCAGATGCGCACCAAGATCATCCTGAAGAAGCACCAGGAGCTGATGCACTCGGACAAGCCGCGTCCGGAACCGGAACTGAAGCAGTGCCAGATTTGTGGCGCCTGGCTGAAGGGCATGACCGGTTTGAAGCAGCACATGAAGAGCATCCACGTGGAGAGTGCGGGCGAGCACCGCTGCCACATCTGCGCCAAGGTGTCACCGAATGCCAGAGCTCTCAGGCGTCACATTTATCACAATCACGAGTGTGAGCGCAAGTTCAAGTGCACCATGTGCGAGAAGGCCTTCAAACGGCCGCAGGAGCTTAAGGTGAGACCAAGACATCTTCACAAGAACAGATTTGTAAATTTGTACTTTGTGGTTCCACCCGCAGGAACACACATCCACCCACACCGGGGAGGTACTCTACACGTGTCCCAACTGCCCGATGACGTTCTTCTGCAGCGCCAACATGTACAAGCATCGCCAGCGATTGCATCGCGCACAATACGAGGCGGACAAGAATCAGCCCAAGCCCCCTAATATTCTGAAGATATCGCGCAACGCCTCCTCGCAGAACAAGCCCAAACAGGAGATCTAGCACCTAAAGATCATTAATTGAAATAGTCAAACGCCCTTTTCCACTTTCACAGAGTTTGATCGAATTTGAAATAATTATGTCCCAATTTAAACATTTCTCTTTATCAATTTTTTATATTTGAATTTTAACTAATTCGAATGAACTCTGTGAAAGTTGAAGTCCAAGAAGCGTTTGTCACCTTAGACATAAGCTACAAGTATTTAATAATAAATGCAAACTGGATTTGGCTCCAATCCAAACAATTGATAACAAAACAAAGTTGGGAATGTCTTTCTTTCTTTATAATTATTTACAAGGATGGCTTAATTGCACCTTATATAACGCAATGACATTTACATGGTTTCTTTCGTTTCTTTTCATTTGTTTCATTTTTACACATAGTATGCATAACTTTAAAATATTTATATAATAGATACTGTATCTCTCTCTCACGTTTCGCTTAACTCGGTACACAATTCTCGATTTAGCAATAGGAAAAACTGAAAAACTCTACATACGAATAGAATATTATTGTTCATATCTTATATCCGGTTGACCCTTGTCCGCTGCTGGTGGTTTTTAAGTTGGGTTAGCGTACACGCGGGCTTAAACAAAACGGGCAGAACCACAAAAGGCTCGAGCGGTTCTCCTCAGCGATTAGTAGTATGCAAACAGCGCGCGCAGCGTTTAGACTTGTTTTTAGACTTTCAACATCTAGGCAACATTTATAAATACAATACTTCCGTTAGTTAATAGTTAGACTTTACTCGAAACGTACCATTGCATCGGAAATTTGTTAGCGCAATTAGTTCGGTTTTGCGATTTGCGACACCATTTTTGGGGCTTAAATTTATTTTGGGCATGTTTTTGTATGTTGGCTGTTAGTCACGGATATACAGATACCAAGTGGAGCACAAGCACGAAACGAGACGAAATGTTTGTAAAACAAAATGTAACTCAAACGTAAATGTTTATTGTATAGCTACCAAACAAACAAACAAATAAACGAAAAAGGAGAAGTAAAGCCGGAGCTTCAGCGACAATGTGTGTGTAAATTTGGCTACGGGTTAAACACTCTGTTCATTCATCATATCATCATAATCATAGTAAGGCATAAGAAAAACATAAAATACTGCTTTGCGAACTGAAGGGGGACAAAGAACGATCGGGAAGTTCTACAAGATCTGGGGTTTTGGTGATTGCAAACGATTTCTCTTTCTTTTTTTTTTTTGCTCGATTGACGCGAACCGGAAGTTGATTTGAAACAGATATTCGGCAACGCGCAACATAAATAACAACAATAATTAGATAACAATGACTAAAATTATTTAAAGTAATCTATTAATTTTGTTTCATTAGATGTCTGCGAATGGTTCAGCTGATTTTAAGTTGAAGTCGGTTGTTTTTGTAGTAGTAGTATAGTGTTTTTTGTGTGGCTGGATGTGTGCAATGTATGGGGACGGGACGACGGCGGGCGATCGATCTTAGACCTTGGCCTGCTCCACCATATCGATGTTGACCTTGTAGAACACATAGGGGAAGTATTCGGACTGGCCAAAGCCCAGGCCGGGGATGTCCACATTCTGTGGTATAAAATAAATGAAAATTAAGTCTTAATTATTCAAGGCAGGATTAGGATTAAGTAGCACCCACATCAGCACTGCTGACAGCACCGCCAGCGGAGGCGCCATCCAAGTGACCGTAAAGCTGGTTGAGCACATCGCGCAGACGCTTCACGCTCTTCTTGTTGGGCTCGATCAAGATGGCCTGGAAGTTGACGGGCAGGCCGTATCTGTTTGGGTTCACAAAATCATTGTTACTTATGTTTGTTCATAAATGCTTATTATGGCCATCACTTACCTCAGCACGGATTCCACAAACACGCGCAGCGCCTTCACGTGGATCAGGGCGCAGAAGGCCTCGCTGAAGTTGACCTTTAGCCAACGAACCAATGGACCCTGAAATGGAAATGGATATGTGATTAGAATATCCCTGCTGGAGGGGCTATATTGTAAGGGGGCCACGCACAAACTGCTTCTTCTTGTCCGTCATCAGCTTGGTCATCTCGTTCTTGCCGGCGGCCAGCTCCTCCTCGTTGTAGACAAAGTCGCGCACAATGAACTTGCGCTCGCGGGCATGGAGCTTGAACTCCTCGGCCACCTTCTTGAAGAGGGTCACATTGAAGAGGCAGTAGTCGCTGTCCTCCTGGATGAGCTGCGACGAGCGGGGCACGATCATGTCGGTGATCTTCTCGTAGTTGGTCAGCCAGTCGTTGGCCATGACCCTGCGGATAAGTGGGGATTCAGTTACATTACATTCTCAGTTCAAACAATCAATCAATGATGGGTGGTAACTCACTTGGGCACAATGACCAGCAGGGTGGTCAGATACTCCGAGTCCAGAATGAAGTGCTCCTTCTTGACCAAGTCAGCCAGATTCCTGGTCAGCAAGCTGCCACTGTTGGGGGTGGATTAAATATATATACAACATGTATTAATGGGTATTACCAACTTAATTCAATTATCCCAACTCACGTCTTCTTCTTTTCCAGGTTCTGCAGATTTCCCTTGAGGTTGTTGTAGGCCTGCGACTTGGTCTTCAGATCGCCATCAATCTGGCCGATCTGCTTGGAAATAATGTCGGCGATGTTGCGCAGCGACTGCTTGATCGGGTACTTGGCCATATCCCATTGGAAGCGGGTCAAGTACTGCGGCAGTTCGGCTATTTGGTTCGTAGAGAAAGGGTATTAGTCAAAGCTGTATGGCGCAATGGTTCAATGGTTTCACTTAGTTGACTAGCAGAACAAACGTTTGGTTGTTCAATTAATGTTTAAGTACAAAACGAAATTGAAAAAAATACATAGTAATTGATCTAAAAGTTGTATAGAATTAGGCTTGAAAGCTATTTTAAATTAAAGTTATATAAATAAAGCTGTATAAGTAAATAAGGTAACTGAAAAATGCTAGTTAGTTGGTCAGACTGGACACACAGAACATTACATTAGGATTACTCAGACACACACACGCACTTACAGGATATTTATTTATTATATATAGGTTAAGATTAAAAAAAGGAACATCGATTAACGAACAATTTGGATGCATTTTAATAGTGGCTACGGGGATTAAGGGGACTTTGGACTACGCATATTAGTCGCAATTGGAAATACCTTTCGTGTCGCACGGCACAACACGTTAGCTGGACTTTGATAAACATAATGCTGTGTGGTAAGTACATATACATATATATATATAGACACTTAAAGGACAAATTAAAATGCGAACAAAGCAAACAGTAACTCAGAGATTGGTCAACAGTCAACATTTGGCGCTGGGCAAAGCTGCAGTTTTTTTTTTTTTGAGATTTATTTTGTGATTGTTTTGAGGTGAGGTTGCTGATATTATAGCTTAATGGGAATCGGCGTTAATCGTGGCTGTAATGATGTGGAGCGCAGAACAACATTTGGTGATTTGGTGGTGGTGAGCGTACACTGAAAGAACAACATAATCGCTTTTACACTTTTACACTGGTACAAATAATCAACAGATCCGTGTACTTATAGTCAAATATTCATATTCATATTCATATTCATATGGTCAAATCGCGAGAAAGCAAAACGAAAGCGCAAACAAAAGGCGTTTGCAAAATACCACAGAGAAAGGAGTGAAAGGCAAATCAAAAGTGGCGAAAGAAGGATAAAACTTCGTGACGAACACTGGGCAAAATAGTTGCTTCAACTAAAAGATAGACAACAGAAACTCGTCTGCGCTTGCAATTTACTCCCGACGAGTGGACGACGATCAAAGAAAGTGGAGAGCTAGGTGGTGGTGTCACTTTGGGAAACATCAAGTTGCTCAAAAGAAAAAAAAAATAAAATAAATCGGAAATCGAAAATCAGAATCAGAGAAAATAAGAGGAAAAATCTAACGAAACGAAAGGAATAAAGTAAGGAAACTGCAGAGCAACGGCAACATCAACATGTACACTTATAGTAGGGTATATGTCAACGTCGATCAAGAGATCTGCAACAAAGTGGATTGGATTGGATTGAATTGGGTTGGGTTTGGTTGGGTTGGGTGGGGACCAAGACCAGACCAACCCAGGCATGCTAACCTGGACTCAGTGGAAACTCGGGCGGCTCGGCGGGATCCGTGTCCGGACTGGATCGCCCCTGGCTACTACTGCCACAACAACTACTCACTGGAGACGATCTATGTGTTGGTGTTAAATTAAATCCATTGTTTATATTTAATTGACTCGGTGTAGAACGTTTGCTATAAATTTGATCGGCAAGAGAATTGAAGAAAGAGCGATAACTAGAGCGCGGTGTGGTCGATGCTTGATGCCAAAATGTCATTGCTTTGGATAGGTGTTGTTGTTGTGTCTGTTGCTGTTGTGTATGTTGTGTATGTTGCTGTTGTGTCTGTTGGTGTTGCTGTGGGGTCAGTGGGTTGTTGGTTGCATGTTGCTGTAGTGGTGGTGGTGTCTCGTGTTGTTGTTGTGCACTGTCATTGTCGGTGTCAGTGTTTCAATTGCGAAATGGCAAAATGATCAGTGGGGCAATGTGCGATGGGGAGTGATTTAAAAAAGAAATACATTATTATTGCATTTGACTCGGTTCTCTGTTCTTAATCAACTCAAACATTTATGGATGTTCTGGGTATTCATATTGCTGGAGTGGTGTGTGTTTGTGTGTGTGGTTTTTGGATGAGGGCAGGCAGGCAAAGCGGGTGCGCCATTGTTTCAGTGTGGTGTTGTGTGTTGTATCTTGTGTTTTTACAGCGTGTGTAGTGTTTTATTCTCTTTTTTTGTTTTTTTTTTTTGTTTGGCTAAGCTTAGCGGGATGACAGCGGGTGACTGACTTATTTTTTTTCTTTTTTTTTTTTTTTTTGGTTTTGGTTTTTGTTTTAATTTTTTTTTTGTCTGGGGTGCTGGCGATTTGGCAACGTTCTACAAAGTAGGTAATGCGATGATAAGATACCTGCTCTTCTTAGAGTTACGCTTGGGCTTATTGAACCACCAGTCGAAGGTGTCCGACAGATCGGACTGCACACTGTGCGGACTCTTGGGGTCCTCGTCCGTCTCCCCATCTTCGGGGGCCGCCTCGTCGTCCTCCGACATGGACTTTTGCGTGGGCGATTGCAGCGGATTGGCATGTGGCATGTGATGCACTGTTTGCTGCTGATGCGGATGCGAATGATGCTGCTGCTGATGCGGCTGATGCTGCTGCTGCTGGGGATGCGTGGCCAAATGTAGCTGGCTCACGTGGCTGCCGCTGC